AAACAAACATGGCTGTGTTCCAATAAAACTTTATTGACATAAATAGGCAGTAGGCCACGTTAGGCCTCCAGGCCATAGTTTACTTGACTGAAGAAAGACTGAGACCTTTCACATTTTTCAAACAGCTCTCTTCTGGGGCTAAAGCACAAGAACCATAGCAACACCTCAGAAATGGTTTACCCTTCTGGTGACTGAACTTCGCACCCTAATCCTATTAACCTAGATAAAGATCCTATTGCAGGTAGCCCCAAATAATGGAAGGGAGCCCACAATGGGAAGTAGCTACAAACCGATCCTTGCCCTAGTCAATGAAGTCATTCCACAACCATTAATTGAGCACTTACTGAGTACCTTGGTTCAAAGTCACTTACGGGCAGTGATGACCATCCTCTGAGACCGTTTTGCATAAGCAGGGAGGGTGTCCACATTGAAACCTAAGAAACAGAAGAGCAAAACTCACTGCCCAGACCACTGGCTATTGAACCCGGAAGGGGGAGTAATACTGTGGAGAAAGAGTGGAGACCCCCCGCTTGAGTGCTCTGCTGCCACTCAAAAGCAGCTCCAGCAGAATCCCCCAACAGGAAAGTAGGAGGTCTCTTAAATAGGTTCAGAGGAACCTTCTCTCAAGCTAAAAGCAAACCAGGAAACTCATGAGGGAACTCAAGAACACTCAGTGGACGAAGCTAACTCCTGGGGACTCTTCTTTCTCTCGTAACTTCCAACTCAGCTGCACTGGAGAATTGGAAAACTGGAGGGGTACTCACCCATCTCAACAAGCGTGACCACGATGTCTGACAGTGTGGGCTGCGTCCTGGCTGTGTGCTCACAGTAGGACTTGGCACTCCTCCCGATTTCTGAAATGTCTAGCAAAGGATCAAAGGCATAAAGTCTTAGTCTCAGGCCCCAAAAAGTTAAGTACAGAATTATCATTAAGAGCCAGCAATTCCACTCCTAGGTATATACCCAAGCGAACTGAAAACAGATACTTGAGCACCAATGTTCATTGCAGCATTATTCGCAATAGCTTAAAGGTGGAAACAACCCAGTGCGCATCCACAGATGAATGGATAAACAAAATGTGGTCCCCACATACAATGGAGCATTATCTGGTCTTCAAAAGGAATGAAATTCTGATACAGGCTACAACATGGACAAATCTTGAAGATGTTATGCAAAGTGAAATAAGTCAGACATGGAAAGTCAAATATTTTAAGATTCCACTTATCTGAGGTATCTAGAAAACAGAAAATTCATAGAGACAAAAGGTGGATTTGAGGTTACCAGGAGCTTGTGGGAGGGAGGGATGGGGAGTTAATGTTATGAATACAGTGTTTCTGTTTATTTTTTATTTTTTGAAAGATTTTATTTATTCATTTGTCAGAGAGAGAGAGAGCCCAAGTAGGGGGAGTGGGAGAGGGAGAAGCAGGCTTCCTGCTGAGCAGGGAGCCCGATGTGGGGCTCGATACCAGGACCCTGGGATCATGACCTGAGCCCAAGGCAGATGCTTAACGCTGAGCCACCCAGGCGTCCCACGGTGTTTCTGCTTAGACGACGGGAAAGTTCTGGAAGTGGATAGTGTTGACAGTTGTTCGATATTGTGAATGTATTTAATACCACTGAACTGTTCATTTACAAATGGTTATGTTGGTAATTTTATGTTATGTATATCTTGCCACCAAAAAAGGAGGAGAAGGAACAAGTTTTGTTTCTTCTGTCTGAAGCTGAACTTCTATTTAAGAGTTACTGGGGCGCCTGGCTGGCTCAGTCGGTGGAGCATGTGACTCTTGATCTTGGGGCTGTAAGTTCAAGCCCCACGTTGGGAGTAGAGATTACTTAAAAATAAAATCTTTTTTTTTTTTTTAAAGATTTCATTTATTTATTTGACAGAGAGAGAGAGAACACAAGCAGGGAGAGTGGGAGAGGGAGAAGCAGGCATCCGTCTGAGCAGGGAGCCCGATGCGGGGCTCGATCCCAGGATCCTGAGATCATGGCCCGAGCTGAAGGCAGATGCCCAACAACTAAGCCACCCAGGCACCCCAGAGATTTACTTAAAAGTAACATCTTAAAAAAAAAAAAAAATGTTATGCCAAAGTCCTTCAGGGAAAAGGGGGGGCATGAAACTGGGCTCCATAAATGGGCTTCAGAGGTGGATGGGCAATTCCATGAAAACTCTGAAATTGTGCTGAATTTTACATACAGAAAAGCCTTCTTCTGGGGATAGGTCCACAGATTTCATCAGATACAAAAGGAGACCCAAAAGGTAAGGATCCCCTGCTCTAGAAGCCCTGATGGTTCAGGAGTTAAAAGCAAGTGGTTGCCACTACCCTGGGCAAGTCACTAGTACTGGCTTCCATACCCGAAAATGGTGGGCGGCATCTGTTTACTGTGGGGAAAATCTAATTAGGATCCTGGTAGAATGTCTTAGAAACAAGCCAGGTAGCAGTCAAAATATTTTTACCCATTTGGCTTTTTCTTTTTTCTTTTTTTTTTTTCTCAGCAGGTCCTAGGATTTCAAAGGATATGTATAAGAAATGTAGAAAAGACTATTCAGAGACTTTGCTCTGAACCCAGTCTAAGACTGGAGTTCCTAGAAACTAAGGGACCATAGACAACAAACACAAAAACTCTGCCTGATGCTTAAAACTAATGCAAATCCTGAAACGTTGATATCCAGAGCTCTTGACAACATGGAAGTGCTCAAGTCTCAGTGAGACCCCAGCTTAAGCCATCTATCCTTGGTATTCCTTGGAACGAAGTGGCAGACTTTTATACTATTTTCAAGCCTTTCAGTTTCAATATTCACAGCTTTCCAACACGACTATTTCAGCTCCATCCCCCCTCAGTGGCAACTATTTCTTCTGAGAGAAAAAAGGCCTTCTTGTCCAGTGGTATCAGAAAGAACTGCCTCAACCACGAGGACCTTTAAACTCTGAATTCCAAGATCTTTTCAATAACTGAATTCTCTGATGGGAACTATTACTCCATTCTTTTAGGACAAAAGTTCTCCAAGTGTGGTCTGGGAATCCCCAGGCAGCCCTGAAATCCTTCCCAAAGTCCAGAGGCCAAAACTATGTTTATAATGAAGTGAAGACATTGCCTTTTTTACTCTCATTGTCTCATGTAGTTTTCCAGAGGCCATGTAGCCTATGATGATATCATGGCTCTGACGGATAATGGAATGTGGGCTTATGTATGTTTACACTTAAAATTTTTCTCAATTTTATTTCCTAATGTGGCAAAAATCGCTCTATAGAAAGCCCATGTAGACAAAACTCCTCAGGACCCTCAATATTTAAGAGTCTAAAGAGGTTCTAAGACCAAAACATTTGAGATCACTGCTTTGGGAAAACATCTGGTATTTAAAAGTTCTGAACATCAGTTGCAGAGAGTCACCTCACCTCAGACCACGTCCTTCCTGGGGCAGCCCACATCTAGTGCCTGATCGAGAACTGAGTACAAAGGCAGAGCCTTTTCAGCCTGATGTGGCGTACTCTGAAGGGCAACAAATTGCTCCAGAGCTCCCCACTGAGTTAGCCAACTCTTTCTTTGGCCTACATTGCAGTTAACTTCTCCCTCTGCCTAAACCTTTTTCTCACTTTGATTTGTAGGTGTTGATCCCTCAAGAGACAACGTAAGTAACCCCATCTCTCATCCCATCCTACCTTCCACCCTCCGCTCCAATAAAACCCAAGCAGGGAAATACATTGCACAAGCAGAAAAGCCTATGTGAGACCATTCCAGGCTCCTACACCTCAACCTGTTTCAGGTTTTTTTCCATTCTATAAAATTTATTTGCCCTCCCTCTTTGATTACCCAATGTGTAGCATCCATTCATGGGAATTAATTGTGACGCTGCATCAAAACTATAACTTCTTTGAGCTCAGACAACAAACAGCCACAACAGCAACTACAAGTCATCAAGAGCTTACAATGTTCCTAACATCAAATGTTTTACATATGCACCTCACTTATCCTCACAACTCCATGAGATACAAATTATTATCCTACTTCACGAATAAGGAAATTGAGGTTCAGGAGGTTTAGTGACTTGCTCAAGCTATGAAGTGGCAGAGCGATGACTTACACCCACATCCATCTGATTCTAAAGCCTGTAAGTCACTTTACTATGTTCTTCTTTTTCCTAAATCTTAACACTATCAGATTGCAGAACACAGAAAAGATGTCTGGTTGACTCGAAGAAGGCCTATTGTTTCCTGGTACTTACAGCTCTGCAGCATCTCTGTCAATGTTTCCACGGATGCTTTCTCAGCACTCTCGAACCCTGCCTCTGTCAACAAGGAGCTCACAACCACTTGAAGGGTTCGCCTCCGGGCCAGATGGTAGTTGTCAGCAGGGTTAGTGGATTGTTTACTTCCTGATCTCTGCGAATCAACAACCCATTAAAAAAAAAAAAAGATTTTCACCCATAGGACAAGGGTGCAATCAAATAGTTCCCATATCATCAATGGCAAGCAAAGGTTCTTTCGCTAAATATTTATCAGTGCTTAATAAAATATGGTAGCCCCTGCTGTTTAGACTTATAAATCCTGGCCAGCTGAGTAATAATCGAGTACCCAAGGGGCTCTAAATACCAAGGAGCTACCTAAAACTTCAAATTCCAAGAACACAAAATGTCTGCTTTTTACTTTCTATTTTAGCAGATTATCAAAATATATACTGAAAAAACATGCATGATGGGATTGAATTCATGCCCATCTCCCAGAAAACAATGATCTCTCTCTTGTTCCTCCCACCTCCACACCATTTCTCTAACAAGAAAAATTAAAACACCACCACACGATGCTGAGCAGAGGAAGGCAAAGGACAACCGCTCAGAAAAGTAGGAAAGCTAAATATTTTGAAACGGGAATCCCTCCCAACTTCGGCTGGCCAGTAAGAACGCGAAACCAGCCTTTTCGGACCAATCAGGAGGTGTTCCGGGTTCCCAACCCCCAACAGGAAAGGAGCCAATCAGTACACAGGTCCACCAACTCAGGAGGCCGTAGCCAAGTCCCAAGGAGGGGGGCATGTACGGCCTGAAAGACGCTCCTCCACTCGGAGCTCATAGTGGGGCTGGATTTCTGGCTATGAGCTTGTTGCCCACACTAGGGTGAAGTTACAGAATGCCCAGACTTTCTCGCCTTCGGCCCCGTGCCTCCCGCCCTTACCGTTCCGGAGCCACCGGCCCCGGCAGTGGCCGCCGTGTCGGCCATCTTGCTCTGGCGTAACGTGCGTGAGCGCAGGGCAGTATGGGACTTGTAGTCGCCGAACGGGGAGGGGCGGGGAGGGGCGGGGCGGCGTGCGCCCCTCCGAGCTTTCCTAAGCCCGGGCGGTTGGGGGGCGGGGGGGTGTCTGAGGACCCCGGCTCACGTGACCTTCAGTGAGTGCTAGGTTCTTGGGCCCCCAGTGAGCCTCGGAATTGGCTTGGAAGATGCGCCCTCGGTTTCACACCTATTTCTAGATGAAATCGTTTCTCATAAAGAGCACATCCCTGGAACGCTCCAAACTTGCCTGTTGTTAGTTAGCAACACCTGGCTGGGTCCCGCTCGGTCCCGGTGACTCCCTCAATGGGGAAGGGGCCTGGGAATCCGTATTGTGAAGCTCTCCAGGTGATTCTCCTGACCTGGAAATTTGGGGAAACCTTATTTTGTGCTCACGGCCCCGCAGCCCGCCAGTGGTCCACTTGAACTAGAGCCTACCGACCAGCTAGCCCAGGTCTTCCGCTGCAACCCGCTGCCTTCTCGCCCTCTATCCGCAGGTATTTGCGGGGCGAGCAGGCGGCAGGAAGCTGTCCGGTGCCCGCCTCATCCCCAAGGGCGTTGCGTCCCCCGGGTGCTTGTGCCCCGGGTCCCCCATCTGCCGCTCTGGGACGGGGGTTCTCCGTGCCGGGACCGGGGACCGCACCGCGCCTCATTCGGTTCCGTTTGCGGGTGCCTGGGAGGGCGCAGACGCTGGCTTTGAATCCTAACACTTGCAGGCTGTGGGACTTCGGGCACGTTACTTAACCACACTGTGCCTCAGTTTCCTTGTGTGTGTGTGTGGGGGGGCGGTGAAACCGGGGTGGGATTGATAGAGAAGAAAATGAGCTAATACACACAAAGGGTCTGGCACAGTGCCAGACGTAGAGTAAGCGGTCAAGAGACAGCACCTAAAGTTGTAGTTTATTTCCTGCGCGACGCGTGAATGACTGGCGAACGCCCAGAGGTCAGAGATCTGGGAACCCGCGCCTCACCGGCCCAGCAGGCGCACCTGAGCCTGGGGGCGTTCCCCGCCCCCTCACCTAGGGCACTTGGGTCGGGGTCTGCAAGGCGAGCCCCGGGCGGCCGGGGGAGGAGTCGGGGCCCAAACTTTAGTCGAGCCGAGCACCCAGCCCCTTTGTCTCCCCCGCCCCCTCTTCCCCACTTCCTGCCCAGCTTTAAACTCGGGATCCGTGGCGCAGCGCGGACTTTGTAAACACGCGGCGCCCGCGGGGGTGGAGACCGTTTCTGTTGGGGCGCCTGACGGAGGCGCCCACGGCTGGAGGTTGCGACCCTCTACCTCCCCAAAGACAGAAGTCAGAGGCGACGGGAGAATGAGGCCACAGTCCGTGCTTCGGGGGGCTCACCTGCTATGGAGGTAGGCTTGATGGCTGAAGAAGCCTAGATAGGTGGGGTGTCAGCCTCTCCACCCTTCGCTGGGACCTCCAAGTTCAGGCTGGACGCCTGGGGTGGTGGTCAGAGTTGGGTCGGTTAAGGGGGTCACCGCGACCTCATCACCTACCCGTTGTCCCTCAAAGCTTGGCTCACTTTCTCTCCCAGTGAGCTGTTCTGCATGTAGTTGAAGAGCAGAGACGCCCCCAAAGCCCTGAGCCCTGTCCCCACAGCCCCTCTCCAAGCTGACCTAGAAGCCCAGTGGCCTCACTGGGTTGTCGTCGTTCTTCATACCTCAGAGATAGGGATGGAAGGCGAGCAGGAAGGCAGAACCAATGTGGGCAGGGAGCATTGGAGTCCTCCTGCCAGCCAGGGCAAAGGGAGGAGGTCAGAAGACAGGACTGGAAGGAAGGACCCCTCAGTGTCTGTCCCTCTGGTGTCTGATGGGCACACAAGCCTCTTCTGTGTCTTTTAATGTATTGCCAAGAAGAGTAACTGAGGAAATTGGTTGCTGTTGCTAAGGGAGCATAATGGTTTCATCTGCAAACATTGAGCGCCTATTATGTGTCTGGAATTTGTGGGATGCTGAGGGTGCAATGAATAATGTTGTTCATCTACAGCTAGTGTGGGTCATAGAACAACAGAGATAAAATGCCAAATTGGTCTGGCCATAGCAAGACTACAGAGAGAAGAGGACTTTGGAGTTGGATTCTGGGTGATGGAGAGTCACTAGGCAGAGAAGTGGTGGGAAGTCTTTGGGGGCCACTTGCTCATTCCACAGAGTTGTACTGAACCCTGACTCGTGTTGGACCTTGGGATACAATGAGGACCCTGAAGGCATTCCTGCTCTCTTTAACCTGCTGTCTAGGCATGAAGAAGAGGTGGGAATGAACAGGATAAAGTCAGGGAAAGGCAAGTTTCTGGGCTGGTCCCTAAGAATCCAGAAATTCCCAGCTGCATGCAGCTGGGAGTCCACTTGAGGGTTATGTGACCATCCACACAAGGTTGGGGTACCCATTCCTCACCCTTGGACTTTGGGATTGTTTCCTCTATGCCCCCCACCTCAGTTCTCTTGGGGACCAGACATGCATGGGTGAAGAGAACTAGATCTCCCGTGTTCCTGCAGATTCTTCTCTTTCAATTCCTGGGCTCCTTGGAGAGATGACTGATACAACACTTGATGAATTCATTCACCACCTGTTAGCTATGGCCATACTCTGCACAGGCTAGATGTCGGGGACACAATGGTAAACAAGTCAAAGCCTCTACTCTGCTTGGAACTTCCAATCAAAAGCATCTCTGAGAATTCCTGCAGGATCCTAGTCCTTGAGACCATGACCACCTTGGTCCTTAGTGCCTCCTCTTTTTTGTTGCCTTCCCTCAAGTGTTCAGAATACCAGCTAATGCTTATTTAGTACTGTCAGGCACCCTTCTAAATGTTTGGGGTGTAATGTCTCATTTAATTTCCTTAAGTCCTATGAGGTCAGCACTAGGATCATCTCATTGTATAGACAGGAAAGCCTAGGCACAGAAGAGGTAAGTCATTTTTTTAAAGAGTACACCAGAAATAAATGGCAGAGCTGAGATTGAAACCCAGGTCACTTGACCCGGGAGACCCTGTTCTTAAGCACTAGGCTAGCTTGCCTCCCTGACTGACCACACAGAATGTCCACTTAAGCCAAGGACTTAGGAGTTTTCCGAAAGGACCTGTGTCTTGAGTGGTAAAGGGGAGAGAAACTTTTTAGCTGAGTGTGGGTGCTGGTAATGGTTTACATGGAGCCCCAGTAGGTCTGGAGTAGGCTTGTAGGACTGCACTGAGCTGGTATCCTTTCCTTAAGGCCGTGTGTGTGTGTGTGTGTGTGTTTTCTTGAATAAGCCTCACTCACCAAGAGGAACAAACTGCAGTTTGATGCAAGAAAGAAGGCAACATGGATGTGATGTACCAGACTCTGGGGATGTGGGAGATCAAGACACCTCATTTGGTGGGAATCTTAGCAAAGATCTTCCTATTTTAGATTCCAAAAGGAACAGTCCAACCTGGTAGCTGAGTAAGGAAGATGGTCAAGTAGTGGAAGCAGTCTTAAGATGTTCGCTTCTCTTGCATCCCAAAGCTGCATCTGTGTATCTGACCCCCTCCCTCCAGGCAGGCTGGGACTTTGCCCTGGATGTGAGCCAGGCCACAGGGTGGACCGGAGGCTGCGGGGATTCCAAGCCGCTTTTCCATTACCTTTCTGAAACTCTAGGTTTTCTCAAGAGTTCTCTGCACAGATCTGGGGAGGCCTGAAGTGGTCCCCCTCTGCCTGCAGTCAAACCACCTTGTGCATCTGTCTTTGAGAGAGAGGCCTGTGCTGGGGGCGGGGATGGGTGTTGAGGCTGGCAGTTGAGGGTAAAGCGTGGCCACACCAAGATAACAGGTAAGCAGGTTGTGAAATTCAGAACTATAGAGACCTCCAGGCCACTCTTCTGCCACGCATACTTTCCTCCCTTGTCATCGGGTGGGGTGCAGTGGAACCCTTGGCATGCCCCAGCCCCCTGCCTCAGGCGCTTTCTTGGCTGGGGAAAACAGGTTGTACTCTTGAGAAACCACAAGAGGAAGTTTAGGGAGGGCTGGGGGTGGGGAAAGTTCTGGGGCGCCTGCCAAGTTTCCCTTTCTCTGTTCAGCAGGAGGTATGTTTATTTTGGTGTGTTTCTCTTACCCTCAAAGACATTTAAATTTTAAACCCTCTGAGTTTCAAGAGCTGTTAAGACCTGCCCCATTACAGTGGTGGTGGTGGCCGGAGGCACGGTGGGGATGGGGGTGGAGGGGGTCTGGCCAGAGATTGGAAATGAGACCAGAGCAAGGTACCCTTTTGTTGGATTTCACCTGGCATTCACACTGCTTGGGAAAGGCTGCATAACTCCAGAAGGTCTTCTTTTCTCCTTTTCTTCTCTCTCTTCCCCAAAGCACCCCCTCCAGCCTTAAACTCAGAGAAATGTGCTTATAATGGTCACTTAGGAGCTGAATGATGCAGCCAGGAGCTGTCTCAAGTGTTTTACTGGCCTTACCTCATTTGATGCTCATCACAACACTAGGTAGTAAATATCCCTATCCCTGATTTACAGATGAGGAAACTGAAACCCAGAAAGGCTAAGAAACTTCCCCAAGGTCACACAGCTAGTAAGAGGCAGAGCCCAGATTTGAACACTGGTATATTTGACTTCAGAGCCTGTGCTCTTGACATTTAAATTAACCCCCAAATCAGAGCATCAATATATATCAGACCTGAACAGTATTATATCATATCAGACCCTGAAGAGTAGGAGGTTTGAGATCCAAAGACGTTTTTAAAATGATGTTGTTAGGGGAAGGGTGGCTTACATAGAGAATCAGAAGGGATTCTTTGGAAGTTAATATATTAAAAAAGGATCACCAAGTGAAGAAACGATGCAGTGGGTAAACGATTGGCGTCAAATTCTGGACGGTTGAAGCAAATGGAGAGACTTGGGAGGGATATTATAGCTGTGTTCAAATATTTGAAAGGTTGCCTTTGGAAGCCCCTAGGTAGGGGGTGGTGGTGGGGAGACTGGGGGGGCAGATTTCCAAAAAGCATAAGAACTTTCT